TTGCATTATCGGGGGGACCCAATCCCTCCCAAAATTCCAGAAAACCCAGTGTTTTAATAGTGCTTTTAGCAAAATTCAACTATATTTCCAGCGGAAAACTATCTAAAAATCTTTAAAGTTCCAAATTTTCATAGAAAAATCAATATTCTTCGCATTTTTAAATGAAGCCTTATAGAGGTGAATTTAGGTTTTATAAAGCATATAAAGCATAAATGCTAAACTTTTTAATACACTCTAAAATGTTATATTTTCGCCCAAATCCGGTACTAAACCATACAAAACCAGCCGCTTACAGCGGCCGCGCCGCTGCAAGCGGCTGGACTTCGGGCTACCCCCACTGCGTTCCCTCTCCCTCGCCGAAACGCGCGCGACCTCACTATGTCCAAAATCACCCCAACCTCCGTCCCCCACCCCTTTTACTAAGGGAAAAACTTTCAAAATTAATTTTAATAATTTAAATAAAAACTTTTTGATAATTTTTTTATCAGTTTGGGGGTTTCTGACCACGCTCTATCCGAATCCGAAGAGACCTAAGCTCTAGCTCCTGTCCCCTTCGAGTTGAATCCGGGACATGACGGACGGACGGACGGACACCACAGCAAAATTATTATAGTAGATACGTCCTCCTGGCCAGCAGATGGACTGCCAGAATTTTTAATGAAATTGGATTCCCAAAAAATCCGTTAAAAATTCTAGAAGAACATGTTTGCTACCGGCGAGAGAGACAGCGAGAGAGAGAGAGAGAGAGAGAGAGAGAGAGAGAAAGAGTGAGTGAGCGTGAGAGAAATCGAGAGAGAGACTGAGAGAGCGAGAGAGAGAGAGAGCGAACCAGACGGTTCCCAATTAGTCAGAGTGGCTCTGAAATTCCTGAAAAAAAATAGATTGGGTCCCACCACGAGCGGGACTGCATAATTAAGAGAGGGGTCAGACTCATCCAATCAGCTTCAATTTAAACAGAAACAAAAGTGCTCCACAAAATATGATACCTTAAAGGGGCTCGGACAGCAAAATTCTCCCTAATATTTAGATTTTGTGGCCTAAAACTTGCCAAGTTCCGTTAGGATTCGGTAGACTACGCCGGCTTCCCGTTATGCTTTTACAGAGAATGGAATAAATAAAAATATAACTTTTAATTAGCTTATAACAGAATTGGATCCCGATTCCGCGCGAATCCAATGAACGGATGGGGCCGTTCCTGGAGGAAAACAAGGGCAGGGGTGAGGCCGTTCCGAAGGGGGGCAAAATCCCTTCGATCGCTCTCGCTCTCTCTCTCTCTCAGAATGTTATTCTGGCCCCCTCTTGGGTGAATACTAAGCCGATGAAGAGGGAGGGGATTGACCCCTTATTAGAAATGTTTTCGCTGGATGCCAAAATCCCGGAAACCCTGGAAACATTCTCCCCCACGCAACGCATAAATAGATATGGTTTCTGGATCGATAAAAGTATGGTTACGCCGTTGTAAAGGGACTGGTAAATGAGAGAGAGTGCGAGAGAGAGTTAGAGAGAGAGCGAGAGAGACAACACATGTGGCTCGAAATAACTCGCTAATAAGGTGTTTCATGATCGTCTCTCTTCGACCGATCTCTCACTCCTCTCTCTCCCTCTCTCTCCTCTCTCTCTCTCTCTCTCTCTTCTCTGTCACTCTCACACACTCACCCACTTCCACTCTCTCCCCCTCTCTCCCTCTCTCTCTCTCTCTCTCTCTCTCTCTAGCTTGCTTTCTATCTCTTTCGTCTGAAACAAGAGAGCTTCTTGAGCTTCCCAGTCCCTTTAAAAGGCCGTTGTGGGTTAACTACGATAGATTACGGTCAATTTCTGACTCTATAAAACCTTTTAAAAATATCTTGATGATAGGAATATCGCGGAAACATCGGAAAACTATTTCAATTTCAAATTCCTGCGGCACCTCGGGACCGGCGAAATCGAAGAGATGTAAATATTAAGAAAGTGCCCCTTTTCCGCGCCAAAACAATTTTCACTTGCCCCCGCCGGGACAACTTTTTCTATCGGAAGCATTCGAAATTTTGAAACATCCGCCCCCTGGACTTTGATCTGAATTTCGAGAAGAATCTGTTTTTCCCGGTAAGGATACGGTGGGCAGGTCACTGTATAGCAAAAGAGATTTATCAATGTAAAAAATGCATTCATAGACTAGAAAAATAAAGGCACCGGTGAAAAAGGCAAATACACGTAAATTCCGGGGAGTCATCAGTGAAAGCAATGGGCTGAGATTCAGGGGTACGGTAGTTGGGGTGTATAATAAAGGTAGGTGAGAGCTTAGAGAGAAAGAGCGAGAGTGCGACAGAGAGAGAGAGGGAGGGAGAGAGAGAGGGAAAGAAGGAGAGAGAGGGAGAGAAAGAGAGCGAAAAATAATTTTTAGACATCAGCCGGTTCCGGAGCTCCCGAATCGACGCAATGAATCCGGGAAAACGACGGGTCGTCCGTTAACTCGATTCTAAAATAAATTCAACATTTTGTTTTTTTGCGGTTTTCCTACCGTAGCTCCTTCTTCGGCCTTCCAGGCATCCCGAACTCGTCTCGATTGCGGTACCACCTATTCCGGAGCCAACTCTCGGCCCGGATTAGCATATGGCCGAACGTTTGGCGGTATCTGAAAAAAAGCTCGTGAAAAATTTCATTTTCAAAATAAAACAAATTTTAGCCTTGGCTAACTGGTAGTGTTCTTGTTTCCCGGGCAGAGAGCCCGGGTTCGAATCCTTCCGGTGCAAACTTTTTGGTTTTTTAACCAAAAGCTACGCGTACGGATCACGCCATGTTTTTAAAGGTACCTGGAAGACATGCAGCAGTAGAGGATGAAATCCATGGAACAGTTGACGAGGGATAGCATGTCCAACAGCTCGGCCACGTTTTCGTAGATGTACTTGTTGATCTCGTGGGTGTACATTCCTCAAAAAATAGAGGTGGGTGAGTTTCACTCGCTGTCTGTCTCTCTCTCCCCCTCTCTCTTTCTCTCTCTTTCGCTTTCTTTCGCTTTTTCTCTCTCTCTCTCACGCTTTCCCTCTCTCGCTCTCTCTCTCTCTCTGTCTCTCTCTCTGTCTCTGTGTCTCTCTCTGTCTCTCTCTGTCTCTGTCTCTCCCTATCTCTCTCGCCTTCTCCGACCTACCATTTAACAATGCAATGATCCCTTGCGGCAATTCTGTGACCAGAAATACTATCAACAGCACGAGAAGCATATAAGTTGTCCTAAAAATTGTTACAATTTTCGAAAAAAATCGAACCTGTCGGGTACTGTAGTCTTTTTAATATGCTTCCGGAAGCTCTTGGAGTATAGATGATGCCGTTTTTCGTCGGTGGCCCTCAACTTCAAGACGAGAGCGATTGTAAACCAGAGGAGGAGGATACAGGGGACTGTCTGTAAGGATTTACAGGGTCATATTCTCTCTTTTCCGCCCACCTTCATGATGATGGCCATCATCCACAAGTTGAACCTGTAGAAACCGCAGGATGAGCTGAACGTCATCGAGTAGTGGGGCGGGATGAGAGAATCTGAAAAATTTCATAGAAATCGGTTCTGAATCATTAGCGGGGGGATTTTTGAGCCTAGCTTCGAGAGAAATAAACGATAAGCTTTTTTATGATTTTTTTGTGATTTCCGCATGCGAAAAGGTTTATATGAAGACATTTTACAATTTGTCACATTATTCGTTCATTTTGTGACACAAAAATGTGATCTTTCGCGAAATAAAATAACCCTTATTTTTTCGACTACCGTACCTGCCAGCGTCAAATTCCCCTCTGAATTGTCGACTTGATAAATTTGATGCAGGTAAAACGTCGGAATCGTCAGCGTGGAGATGACGGCCGAAACGATGAAGAACATTTTCCTGGAAATCAGGCATTTTTTAGCCGTTGACAGCACCGTGTTTTCATATTTTTACGGCCCCCTCCTCAGTCTCCGTGACAAATCCAAGCCCACGGCCTACGTGGGCTTTTGAGTGCCCCCCCCCTCGAAAAGTCGCCACCACCTCCTCCTCCTCTTCCGGGAGGTTGAAGCCGTTTTCGGAAATGCTCAACCCCAAATTTCCGCCCCACTACTTCGCAACGCCGGTCTCGGCCTCGGCCAGAATACAAATTTCGCGACATTCCTCGAGACGGGAAGGCCAACTTGGAAGCTAAATTTAGCTCCAACTAGAGCGCATGGTAAAGGTGGCTTAACGGGGGGGGGGGACGGAAGTGAAATCGAATTTTGTGTTAAAAATTATTTCGGGAATCTCATCGAATGGAGCCTGGTAAGAATTCTGGGTGCTTCTGCAATATCGGGGGGGGGGGGGGCCGATCGACTTTTTCCAGGATTTAATTTGTCGAATATAAATGGAGCAAGTGTTTTTAACTTATTTTTGACTCATCCTGCACGTAGAAATGTCACACATTTTTATTCAAAAACTACAAAAATATCGATTTTGCGGGGGCAAAATTTTGAAAAATATCCCGACAATTCAACTCGAAAACGTCAAAAAATACCGAAAATCCGCAAAAACCACTAAAAATTCGGAAAACTATACAAAAAGGTAATTTGAGGCAAACATATCCCCCCCGTTAAGCCACCATTACTTGCTCCGGTTTTCCGACTTTCCCCAAAAATCCCTGCTAGTTGCCCCTTTCAGTGGGTTCCTCTTTTGAAGTCCAAAATACGAATCTCGACCCCCATCGGATGGACAAAGTGGGTGGGATGAAATTAGACCTGGGGGGAGCAGGGAAGGGGCCAATTTTGTTCACTTTTTAGGTGGGAGACAAACAGGAAGAAGAACCGAGAGTTCCGCACCGAAAGTGTCGCTTGGGAAGGTCAGAAAAAGGATGGCAAAATTAGTGATGCCAGTTTGATTTCCGGCTTGGAAATACTGTAAAAAATCGGAAATGACGTGGGAAAAAGCTAAATATTTTATGTTTTTGCTATCGGCTTAATTTTCTCATAAAAAATTGCTTTTCTGTTATATTTCTAAATTTTAGCTATTTTTAAATGCAAAAACTCCATGACTTTAATAAAAAATAATAAAATACAGATTTTCCACCAAATTTCGATTTTTTAGAAATTGTAGGAAGTCCCTCTCTTTCTCTGTGTCGCTCTATCTATCTCTCACTCCACCCCTCTCTCGCTCTCGCTCTCTCTCACACTCTCTCTCTCTCTCGCTTACCACGCAGTCACCGGCAGCAGCCATCGACTTTGTATATTCCCCAAAGCTCTCCATCTGATAAACGCCAGCGCGGCGCCCATGTAGAGAGTAATGGCATGTAGTGCCACCGACACGGAGACGTGCGCCTTCAGGAAGACGATCCAGCCGTACGAGTAGCCCACTTCGCCCTGGAAAGTTTCTCCATACGTTTTCGGCATTTTTTATTAGGAATTCTGGATTTCGGTATTTTCAGCGTTCGGTATTATTTATTTCGGCATTATTTGCGTCAATATTTTGGCTGTCGGCATTTTGAGATTAGGTGAGCTGGATTTTGACGTCATGAAAAATGTCCGCCCCGTTTGAGCGTAGATGTTTGGTTTCCAAAATTCTAGGACCTTCGGATGGTCCAACATCTTCCACCCGATCCCCCAAATGTAATTAGGCGCGTTGCGGACCGGGCACAGCCAGACCAAGCGGCTTCTAGTGGAGGGAGCCTTTTTTAATTGCCCGATCCTCAAAACGCCTACAAAACGTGCGGAAACGAACTTGGAATATCCGAAACCGGAAGAGGTATACGGTATAAGAGGTCATCGTCACTACGTCGCACAACGCCACCGCCGTCAGCACCGCGTTCACCGCGCAGCGGCGTAACCTAAAAACAGATCTAGGAGACTAGAAAAATCGAAAACAGTTTAGAAGTCATTGGGGAAGAACTGCTCTTCCCCCGATAACAGAATAGGGCCAACCCCCCCGTTAATGTTCCAGTCCCAAAAACCCACATACCTGGGTCTGGAGAGAACCAAAATGTGCACCACGTTGGCGAGCACGCCGGCCACGCAGATGAACAACGAGGCGAAACGGTGGAAGACCGTGTAGACGCTGGAATAAAAAACTATATTGTTTTGAATCCTTCGTAATTTTTAATTTCAATTAATGCTGTTTCCTCAGCTCTTAATTCAAGGGTTTTTGCCTAAAAAACTCGCCAGCGCTGCCCCCTGTTTTTCTGAATTTTTAACCAGAAAATCGTAGATCCCCGGCCAAAATTTTGAGGGTTTGAAAAGTGACACGCGAGGGGGCAGAGGAGGGGGTCTAGACGAGATACCACTACTCAATTAACGATGGATGGGGATAGGGGGCCAGAGTTCGGCCCGCGGGTTCTTTTTCACGCTAAGCACGCTTTTTAGCAACAAACAAGAAATCTAACACTATTCTAGCACCTAAATAGGGAAAATGCGGCCAAAAATCCTCGGGAATTGTCTGATTTAGCAAAATAAGAAAAATTAAGCTATCGTATTGCCTAGGCTAAGGAAAATCACACAAAAAAAGAGATTGGATTTAGAGGAAATGATAAATCTAGGTACGGTGGCATTATCGGGGGGCAGTTTTTTGTTTAGGCAACAATTTTTCGAAAAAAAAATTAGAGAAGTGTTTTTCAACGGTTTTTTACTAACCCCAAACGTCAAGACGTTACAATTCTTTACATCAATTTACAAAAATATCGATGTTTTTTGACGAAAAATAGTCGTCTTTCGACAAAGCTTTGAAAAAGTTAAAAAAAATTTTTTTTGAAGTTTTCTACTTCAAATCTAGTTAAATTTTACTAAAAAGACTATTAAATTACTTACTATTACATCACTATGTAATTCTGGAGTTACACGAAAAAATTACAACCCCCGATAATGGCAAAGAGCCTGCTTACCTGTTGAAACTGACGAGTCCGCTGAGCACCAGTTGCACGGTTGGGTCGTCCAAATTGAGGAGGGTATCATTTTCGGGTGTGCACATTTCCTGAAAATACAAAAATAAGTGTTTTAGACGATAAAAACAAGAAAAAAACCCAAAAAATGGTCAAAAAATGGTTAAAAAGTAGGAAATTTATCGGAGAACTAAGAGACGTTCAGACGCCGATGTTTGCGAAAAGTAAGCAATATTTCTCTGCCCAATAAGTACCCCAAGAAAACCCAGAAATCCGACTGCTATCTGACCTGCTGAAGGCCGAATTTAGCCCGGAAGATGCTCAAAAAACTGGGCGAATTCCTGGAATTGAGGCCCAGCCAGAAGGCCATTCCGCCCGAATAGTCCAGGTGACTCGGCAAGGAGCTGCAAACGTTTTTTCTGGGTTTCGCAAAATTCGCCCCCGGAAATGGCACGTAGAGGGGTGAGTTTTCACCTGCTTGAAAAAAGTACTGGAGGGCTGGAAAATTGAGTGGGCAGCGGGTTGCAGTCCAAAAACTGATGAGAAAACAAGGGTTGTTGCGAAGATCGGGATTATTTCGATGCTTGAGCATTATCGGGGGGGGGGGGTTTAAAACAAATAATAGAGCAGCGTTTATAAACTATTTTTTTAACTGCGTAAAAAGTTATACAACTTCATTAATAATTACAAAAATATCGATTTTGTCGATCCTATCAAAATTTTTAGTTAATTTTCCTTTTAAATTGAGTGAAATTATACTAAAACACTAATAAAACACCACATTCTTAATTTTAAACCAATATGCCAATCTTTTTGGATTTAGGTATCTATCGGAAGCTTTCGACGAGCTGCGGACATCGCCTTTCCGGTTTTCGAAATTCCTGAATTTTTCAGTCGGGTTTTAGCATTTTTCATGAAAAAATTTTCACGTTTTTCTCCAAAACGCAATTTAATCGCATGCGACCAATCCGAGCTGCGTTGTCTCGAATAACTTTCCCAAATAACAACGAAAAAACCGCCCTCGGGCCTGAAAAGCGAATTGGACAAAGTCGAAAAATTCGAAGAGGTATCGAAAAAGGAATCTTGGTCCTCCCTATATATGGGTGATAGCTTTAAAATACCTCTGAGAAACGAGGCGATCGCGTGGAGATTAGTGAATGGCAGAAAGTAATCGACAAAGTACGCAATACCCGTCATCCACATGAAAAGGTCAAAACTCAGAGTAGATCGCCGTGATTTAGTCATCAAAATTGTTCGAATCAGGTAGGCGACCATGATTTCACGCGATACACCGAAACGGATTAGAAAAACCCTTTAGAACGCTCCAAAAATCACTCTAAAAGAGAATCGGCAATGCTCGCACAGATTATTGATTTCTAGTGGCGTCCTTCGTAGTCATTTCTCAGAAGAATTTTTCAAAAAGAATAGTTCTTAAACCCTAAACTTTTTAAGCAAAAACTGGTCTTTAAATATGAATTAAGTCTTTTTAACAAAAAATGGTGCATTGACATGAATTTTGACGATTTAAATTGATTACACTTTCGATTTAGAGATTTAAGCAATGAATTTAACCAATTTTTATGCCTTGGGCTATTTTATAGCGCCCATAAAGTTCAAACCAGCAGAGAAGAATTTACAAAGTGAAAATTCGTCGAAATTGAACCAGCGACGCAATTTCAAGGGGAAATAAGCCCAAAACACAAATTCTCCCCCTAAAACCCGGCTACCGTACCCCATTCCCCCATTCTATAGGCCGCTGGAGGAGTTCTTTGGCCGGGGCCAGATTTCAGGCAGCAGAAGAAGAAGCTTGGAGAGGCTAATAGCCCCCGGGAGAAGAGTGAAGGCGCCAATTCACTCGGGCCGCGAAGAAAATATATAGAGATGGGCACACTTCCTTATACCGATCTCTCTCTCTCTCTCTCTCTCTCTCTCTCCCACCATAGCTCCACCCAATCCACTCTCAATTTTCGGGTTTTTTGGGGGGCTGCAAAAATCGGGAGCCACACACGAAATTGGTTGGAGTACGGGGGCTACTGTGGACGTCAAGAGTACACTTCTGGAGCTACGAGATGCTCCACCTTAACGCTAGATTGTACTGCGTACATAGATATTGTAGTTGTTATTAGGCCTCAATCGTAGTCTGGCTAAATGGAAGAAAAAGGCTATTGCTTCGCGTGTTTTGGTCTAGAAACGTATGTAACATTTGACTACAGGATCGCATCGGCTAGAGTATTGCGTCGGAAATTGCAGCTGGAGTCGTCTTCAATGCGTCTTAAAAATTTATAATGACAACTAAAGGAAAAATACTGTTATAATGGGAAACAGCTTCGCGTTCCCTAGGGTATTGGCGCGGAAATTCCCACTATAGACGGCGCTTGCCTTAAAAATCCCTTTAAAAAATTTTCAGCTGTTCCTCCTGATAGGCGAGAGAAAAGGTCGAAGAACAAGGGAGGAGGGGAGGAAGAACTCCTCAAAAATGAAGCCAATTTGGGGGCCAAGGGAGAAATAGGGGAAAAGCTCAAGCTCCGCCTCGGGAGCGCGAGAGAGAGAGAGTGAGAGAGAGAGAGCTTGGGTGAGAGCGTGAGATAGAGAGATATATAAGAGCGGGGAATAGAGATAGGAGAGAGAGAGACCAAGAGAGAGAGAGAGAGAGAGAGAGAGAGAGAGAGAGAGAGAGAGAGAGAGAGAGAGAGAGAAGAGAGAGAGAGAGAGAGAGATATATAGAGAGAGAGAGAGAGAGAGAGAGAGAGAGAGAGAGAGAGAGAGAGAGAGAGAGAGAGAGAGAGAGAGAGAGAGAGATATATGAGAGAGAGAGAGAGAGAGAGAGAGAGAGAGAGAGAGAGAGAGAGAGAGAGAGAGAGAGAGAGAGAGAGAGAGAGAGAGAGAGAGAGAGAGAGAGAGAGAGAGAGAGAGAGAGAGAGAGAGAGAGAGAGAGAGAGAGAGAGAGAGAGAGAGAGAGAGAGAGAGAGAGAGAGAGAGAGAGAGAGGGGGGGGGAGAGAGAGAGAGAGAGAGAGAGAGAGAGAGAGAGAGAGAGAGAGAGAGAGAGAGAGAAGAAGAGAGAGAGAGAGAAAAAGAGAGAGAGTGAGAGAGAGAGAGGGGAGAGAGAGAGAGAGAGAGAGAGAGAGAGAGAGAGAGAGAGAGAGAGAGAGAGAGAGAGAGAGAGAGAGAGAGAGAGAGAGAGAGAGAGAGAGAGAGAGAGAGAGAGAGAGAGAGAGAGAGAGAGAGAGAGAGAGAGAGATTTAAAACCCTCCCCCGGCCAAAACAGAGAATCCTGCGGGATGGATAAATCGTCGTCCCTTCCTGGCCTATCCCCCCTCCCAATAGAAAACGCGGAAACGAGATTTCGTTCGAACGGCCCGTGGGCCCTCCTTTGCCCATCGTAACCCATTTATACAGGGGGCCCA